ATTGCAGGGATTAAGACTGTCAGGCAACCAGGTGCAGCCTGGGTGGCCCCTCCAGCAGCTTTGCAATCTTGTCTTCCACATCAGTGGCTGAAAATAGTTACACAAGGAGGGGAGGAAGCAGGTGCAAAGGGCTTCCCAGCGGTGTGGAGTTTCCCTTGGCAAAGTGCACCAAGCAGACTCATGTCACCTTGCTGGGCAGCAGAAGCTGACATTGTTTCCCTGTGGACAGGCTTGTCACCAAAATGGTTTTGAAATTCCTTCATGTCTCAAATCCATGTGAATGGTTTTAGGTAGTCCTTCAAGAATGCTGCTCAGTGTGTGTGTGTGTGTGTGTATGTGTGTGTGTGTGTGTCAGAGAGAGAGACATGTGTGCGTATGATGTGTATATATGTGTGAGTCTCTCTCTCTCTCTCTCACACACACACACACACACACACACACACACACACACACTGTCTAAAGGGCCAGAATTTGTGAGGATGGAGCTTATGTGGATTTGAGAATAGTCTGGCATAGGGTCCAAGTTCATCGGCTTCAGTGTCAGGGAATTCTGGATCAAGTTTTCATAACCAAAGGGCTTACAGAGCATATTCAACTCTGTCTTCTGCAATAACAAATCATCACAAATTTCTGTTGCTTAAAAGAACACAAAGTTGATACTGCACATGTTGTTAGGAAGCCTGCAGTCTCAACTAGTTCATTCTTCAGGGATACAGCTCTTCTGGAGGCCCTGAGAGGGAATCAAAGGACTGGAAAATCCCTATTCCTTGGTTTGTGGCTCCTCCTACCATCCTGAGAGCCTCAGCTCAGTGTTTTTCACTTCTGACCTTCTGCCTCTCTTTCATAAAAGACTCTTGTCATTCAGTGGACAGACTCTTTAACAGGATGAATCACAACAGCCCAAGACTCTCAACTCTTGTCTGTAGAGTCTCATTGGGTGATGCGTGGCTGTTGAAGCCTCCAGACACTGCAGAAGCTCACGTTCACAAAAATCTGGTTACAATGCAAGACTGCTATGGGACAAGGACCTTTTTATTGGATTTGAGGCACCATCCCTAGGAGGGAATCTGTGCCTGTTATGTAAACCTGCTTAAAAGCCAATGACTGTAGATGTCATAGGTTCCACGTGGGAACCTGCTATTCTTTTCATAAGTGGATATGGTGTCAAACTGCTTTCTAAATATTTATTTTAATGCTCATAGGTTAGTGCTGCTAGTGCCAGAGAATAAGGTCCGATTAGAGAGGCGTCTGTTTGCAGTGGGTGATGGTTAATGCAAAGACACATAGCTGGACACAGCACTGAGAATCAGTGATGGTTGCATGATCATCCCCAAGAGCGGCATATGTTTCAGTCTCTGCAAGGTACAGGGAACATCACTAAAGAGGATGAAGAAAAGGCACAGGAGCCAGAGGTGGAGACGAGAAATATCGTCCTCTGGACATGGCCTGGAGAGTGTATTCACAAGAGCTGTGGTCACTGGCATGAGATTATCCCAGTAAACTTTCCAGCATGGACAGAGGAGGGGATCATGAGGACCCACCCTTCCCTGAGGAACAACTGTCAGTTGCTGGGAGAGGAACAATAATTTTCTTTCATGGTATAGCCACTGATAAATTGCCTGTGCTTCCATAAACACACAAAAACAAACAAAAACCCCTACTCAGACTCATGCATGCAACCCTAAATAAACTCAGTGACTCACAAGAAAATAGCAAAACAAACAAAATCAAACACAAGACGTGGAAGTAAGAGAGGGACTTAGTGGGAAGAATAAGGGATTCAACAGGAGTGGAAAATGGATGAAAGAGGGAACTGAAGGATGAAAAAGACCAAAATGTATTATATCCAGTACAAAATTATCAAAGAATTTTTTAAAGTGTAGAAAAGCTATGGGTTGAGTCCAAGAGTAATACTAAAAGAAGTTTCAGCAGATGGTCTCTAGAAGACCACTTCTCTGGGTGCTGGGTAAGAATAGAGAGCACTGGTGGGGTCAGGAATGCAGGTTAAAGCCTTGCTCTCAGCCCCAGTGAGAGAGGATGGAGTGTCACCAGCTCAGCTGATGAGGATGTGACTCTATAGAAAGTGATCACAGGCTAGGCTTTATAACAGAAAGCCCCCAGCATCCATGCCTGCAAAGGGGTAGGAAACGAGCGTTGACAGAGAGAGCTCTTAATCAATACCACTGATGCTCTGAAGAACCTTTGACCCCTCATTGCTAGTAGAATTTAGCATCTCATGTTGAAGATCTCCCAAATAACCTGCTCCTCCCTCCTAGCTACCTATATATCCTGATGACTACCACTGCAGTGGTCAGTGATGGGAATGACAGCTGAGCTAAGGCGTTCTGGCTTGGACATTATGTGTACTGGAATTTTGGCTTGCTTATTCTTGTCTAGGTCTTGTGTAGACACCAACAGTCACTGGGAATTCCTGAGTGCAATGGACCTGACATGTTCCTAGGATACTGTATCACAGACTCTCCATCTAACCTCTGGTTCTTTCAATCTTTCTGCTCCCTCTTCTGCAATGTTTCCTAAGAACCATTGGAGGAAGTGTGACATAAATGTCTCCTATAGGACGAGCCCTCGATGGTTGCTTGGTTGCTTATCCTCTGAACTCTGACCAGTGGCATTCTGTATTCGTTGCCATTCACCGTAAAATCAAGCTTCTCTGATGAGAGTTGGGGTGGGTGCCAGGAGTTAGACAGGGTTTCACCTTTTTAACTCAATAGACTCATGCACCATATTTCTACACAGCCATAAGAAGGTGAATTATATTTTGGATTATGGGTTTAGGCTGGATAACATTTTGGAGCCACTGATAAATAAGGCATAATGGAAAGTCAGAGGCCAGCTAAGAATCAGCTCCCACAGCTTTGAAGAATGGTAATAATTGAGTTACAGACATTTTTTGTTGCCATGCCTGGCACATAATAAAATCTCAGTAAATCATTGTTTCCATAACAGCAAGGGTTTGCGATCTAAGAAGAAATGCTCTCCCCAGGAGCTTCTGCAGAGGCAGTCATCCGTGGTTCACACTGTCCTCCTGCCTCAACTCTCACCGTTCAGTGCTTTCCCTTGGCTTTTCCTTCATGGTAGGCCCAGAATCAGAGGTGTTCTAACATGTCTTGTCTAGGTGACTTGGATGTCTCCAAGCTGATCTTCTTACTCCTCCCTTCTGGCTAAGAAGTGACAGCTCTTTAAAATCATAAAAAAAAAAATATAAAAGAAAAACACACACAAACAAAACCCCAAGAACCCACACTCTTCTGCTTCAGTATGTCCAGAGACCACTCACCTCCTGTGGAACGCGGTCAGTCTGGACGGGACTCCAGTTTGGTCTATGGTCTATGGTCTATGGTCTATGGTCTATGGTCTATGGTCTATGGTCTATGGTCTATGGTCTATGGTCTTCCAGCACTTTCTCCTCCATCCCTTCCTGCACTCCCTCCGCCCCACTGTTTACACCGCAGTGCCTGCATCCTATAGGACTCCTGCCACCAATGGCAATCTACCTCCCTCCCCTACCTCCCTCAGGTCTGTCTGCCCAGATCACATGAGAAGATACCCATGCTGACTAGTCTTATGTCAACTTGACCCAAGCTGGAGTTACTTGAAGGGGAGGAATCTTCATTGAGACAATGCCTCTAAAGATCCAGATGCATGGCATTTCCTTAATTAGTGATTGATGGGGGGGGGGCAGCACTCTGTGGTGCCCTTCCTGGGCTGGTGGTCCTGGTTGCTGAGCAAGCCATGGGAAGCAAGTCAGTAAGCAGCACCCCCTCCACAGTCTCTTCATCAGCTCCTGACTCTAGGTTTCTGATCTGGCTTCCTTTCATGAGGAACATTGATAGTGTAAGGCAAATAAACCCTTTCCTCCCCAAGTTTCTGTGCTTTATCACAGCGATAGTGACCCTAACTAAGATACCCCCCTCCCTATAGCCTCCACAAACCCTGGTCTTCCTTTCCATTCTAGGCTCATGCAGCTCTGGGACATTTTTATTTACAGTGGATATTACAGCTCTGGGGCATTTTTATCTGGATATTACTTTCTTTCAGATCACATGAAGGTATACACAAGAATTCCCCATCCCTTCCTCCTAATAAGATATAAACTTTACTAAGGTAAAATGGTGATTTTATTTCAATGTTATTGATTTACCTTTGAGATAGGGTATTCCTGTGTAGCTCAGTCTGTCCTGAAGCTTGTCACCCAGCCCCAGCCTTCCAGGAGGGATGGGATTACAGGCGTGTGCCTTTCTTGACTATGCATTAGAATTAGAATAAAGACCCATTCTGATTTCTTGGAGGATCAGAAAGAACAGTACAGATTTGGTCCTCCAGGCTAGGTGGAGGTAATACTTAGCATGCAATAGCTGTACATGTCTGAGTCTTGTAGATAGCAAAAGCAATAAGTTGAAACTCTTAATTAAGATAGAATTGCTCTAATTATGCTGAGTGATTCCAAACTAAACCTCAAAACAAAAGGTCAGTGCATTCCTTGTGGGCATTACGTACTCAGCGTGCCCCATCAACCTTTGCTCCCTGCTTTTGGCTAGCTACAGCTGTCAATCCCCACACGCATACCTACACAGCTACCGTCGTCTGCTGTTTGCTGTTTAAATTGCAGTTTCCTGGGGGAGACTGCAGACTGCACTTGTTCACAGTTTGGGATTTATGGTTTTTGGCTGAGCCGTTGTCAGTGTTCTGTCAGAAAACCTTGGCTATAGAATCAGATGCCCTCCAAAGTATTTTCGCTGATTTCCACACTCTCACTCAGCAAGTGACCCTTCACCTGACAGGGTCGCCCAAAAGGCACACAGCCCCAGGCTGCCAGGCTTTGGCCCACATTTTAAAAGTTTGTGCTAACTGAAGCTCTCTTTCAGTTGCTGGTGGAGATTTGGAGCCTTGGTACTCTTCTTTTGTCTCTTCCGGTTTCAGCTTCTGTCGTCTGGGATGTCAAGAGGGAAGCCCGTAGCCAGCTCTCACTGAACAAGGCTTTGAAGGGCGTTTCAGGATCCCGAGCCAGATATTTGGCAGCTCAACTGTTAACTTTCTGTGGTTTTTCCTCCCTGGGATCCATGTGACGTCACCAGTGTAATTTGAGTCGGGAGCTTTGTTCACACTTTAAATAGCAGCCTAGGGACGGTTTTACCACAGACTCCTGGAAGTGCCCAAGCTGAGCCCGGGAAGACTCACATCGATGAAAGCAAAGCGAAGCCACCAGGCCACCAGCATGTCTTCGTCTCTTCGAGTAAGCCCGTCCATCCACGGCTACCACTTTGACACGGCCTCTCGCAAGAAAGCTGTGGGCAACATCTTTGAAAACATAGACCAGCAGTCCCTGCAAAGGCTCTTCAGGAACTCCGGAGACAAGAAGGCAGAGGAGCGGGCCAAGATCATTCTTGCCATCGACCAAGACTTGGAGGAGAAAACACGAGCCCTGATGGCCCTGAAGAAGAGGACAAAAGACAAGCTTCTCCAGTTTCTAAGACTGCGGAAGTACTCCATCAAGGTGCACTGAGCATAGCAGGATGGGCCAGGAGCTTTTCCACCAATGGACCTTTAAAGACAGACCCAGAGAGCCTGCCAGCCCGGCCAGGGCAGCGACCCGCACATAGGCTTGAGTGCTTCTTCCAAGGACCCGAGGATGGAAAGGGACAGAGCACACCAGCTACAAAGACTCCAACTCATTGCAGCCCTGAGCTGTCACACTGAGAGCAAAGTGCCTTCAGTCGACTTTGAGAACTGACACTGACACAGAACAGGAGGATGGAGGATGGAGGCACGGGACAGAACATGACAGACCGAGCCTGAGGGCACCCAGGGTCACTGGCAAGGCCCTAAGACTAAACGAAAACCTACTTGGTTTTTGTTGTTGCTGTTGTTTGGTTTGTTAATTTTGTTTCCCTTTCCGGAAAAAAAAGTGTCAAAGTTAGTAGGGAGAGGGAGGAAGGAGGAGGAATGTCAAACATAAATGGTTTACCGAGATTTTAGAATTCTGAATGTTTTAAATGTGGCTAAACCTCAATGCTGTTTATCGGTCAAGATTTTTAGAGATCAGTAATTGACTGCTTGTGTTAAAGTCAGGGAGCTGGGTGCTTTGCCCAGTCCTGGAAAACCCACACCACTGTCTACATGTTTCTAGAGGATTTGTTATGTTACAAATAGATTTGCACAAAGTTGAAATAATGGGGCTCTTCATAAATCTGAAGTACTGTGAACAATTTTGTAATGTTTTTTTACGCTCTGACTAATGCTAAAAACTGAATCAAATTAAATGTCCTAGAGATACTGCAGCAAGCATTAGGGAGTGAGAATAGGAGATTTTTAGAAGGATGTTGTGGTCTTTATAATTTATTATACATTGTAAGTGATACGCAGCCCCAATAAATTATTATCAACTTAGCTTCTCTTGGTCTGTGATGATTGTTCTCAAAGGAAAAAAATACAATGGTAAGTTTGGATCATTCTAAACTTTTATAGAGGGCTGAGTCTAAAGTTAAAGGGGCCTCTCAGAGCAGCCTTATGCTAACTGCCAAACTTTCCCAAAGCGAATGATTGCACCAAGTGTCTAGAGTATTTTCTTGCCAAAGTTTCCAATGTCTTGGCAAGGATATGTTTATCCACAGAGCAATTTGCCAACATTGTTTTTATACATATATCCAGTCTATGTTTTCATGTTTGTGAAATTTCTCTTCTGTCACTACAGCAGAGATGTGTGTGTACCCACCTATTTCTTCCCAAACAATATGTTTTGAAGTTAGAGAAACCTGTAATGAAGTTTTTGTGGGTTATTATAACATTGCCATTATTTCTGCATTATTTATAATAAAGCACTTCTAAGGAGGCACATACAAATGCCCTCTGTGATTTCTTCACAGAAAAGCTAAAACAGCCCCCAGAAATAGTTTCAGCAAAACCTACCATGATTTTTTTAAATGCTGACAGTATATCAAAACACATGACCTATCTGAAATCTTCAGGAGGCTTAAAAGCCAGACTTTAAAATACAAATCGTATAAAAGGAAAGTAAGGTGGTAAAATTTTATATTCAGCTACTAATTATTAAGTTGTTGAAGATCATTACAAATTAATCCATGGGACCCTTATCTAGGGGTGCAGTCAGTATTTGATCACTTGGCCAGCATGTGCAAGACCCTGGGTTTTATTCCCAGGAAATAAAGAAAAGGTGAGAGCAAGTGATTCTAGAAGTGTGTGTGTGTGTGTGTGTGTGCGTGTGTGTGTGTTATGCCCTTGAGCACTTTCCTGGGAGGATTATTCATAATCATCTTCAGATTTCCAAAGACAATAATGACACTGAAAGAATTTAGGACCCACAGAGGCAGGGCTTCACAGGGAGCAGTCAGTCTGCCAGAATGTGCCTGTGAAAACAGGGTTTGCAGAGAAGTCCTCCTCTCCACTCTTCCGTCCCTCAGCCTGATGCACACTGAGCTAGTGGACAGCTGTCTGTGTGCACTTAGAATAAGTTTCCTGTTCCTTCCAGGAACCCTCATGCAGAACTTTTAAGTTGCGCTTTATTCAAAGTCAGAGCTGGGCATGGCTACCCGGGCTTGAAATCCTACCACTCAGGAGGATCGTGAGTTTGAGGCCAGCAAGAGTCACTTCATGGAATCATGTCTTACAAATCAATCAGTCCACCCACTCCTCCGTGCATCCCCATGAAGGAGGTGCATCTCGGATGCTGAGCTTAGACTATGGGTTTAATTCAGCACATGCACTCGGAACTCTATCTTCTGCTGCTGTTGTTTTCAGTAGAGTGCAGTTTGGTCCCTGTCTTCTTTACACATGAACATTAAGTCGGATTAACTTTTTTTTATGGCAGCATGCTATTGTTATTTTCTGATTTCAACACGAGGGAGAAAAACAAACACTCCTCCAATAGGCTGTTGCAAGCTCTCTCTTCTCCTTTGGGAGGAACACAGAGTGGAATCAGTGTCATTGCACAGGACCATTTTCAGGTACATAATACACATTATGTAGTGTCAGATGAAAACTGGTATTATCGGAAAAAGAAGACTATGGGGCCAGAGAGGTGGCACAGTAGCTGAGAGCACATGCTGTTCTTGCAGAGGACTGGTTTTGGTTCCAAGTACGCTCAAAATTACCTGTCACCCCAGGGAACTGACTCCTCTAGCCTTGGTGGGCATCTGCACTAACGTGTACAAATCCACACACAGACACAAGCATATATACATAATCAAACCTAAATAAAAAATGTAAAGGAGGATTAGTTCGGTCCTGAGTTCTATTTCTGACATGGGAAAAGTCAAATCAATTGTAAGATCTTGTAATAAAAGAAATAAAAGCAAAAAGGGTTCAGTAGTGCATTAAGAATATCAGCCAACTGGGATCATAGTAACAGCTAACTTTTGCCAAGACGTGGTACTGGTGGACAGGTAATTCTCCAAATGTTTCTGTGACATAAGAGGTAAGAGTGAGTGAGTATGTCTGTGTGTATGTCTCTGCGTGCACACAAGGTTTCAATAGTTGGGGAAACTTGCCAATGACATAGAACTCCATGAAGGATGGCCGCCATGCCCTGATAGCAGCTTTGACCATGTCACCAGGATAGACAAGCCTCCCTCCTCCTCTATAGTTACATTCAATAGTCAACTGGAAAGACAGGAAAGTATGGATTCTGCCAGTCACTTTGCTTTCATCTGTTTTTGTCTGTCTGTTTACCATGGGGAACATGTCCTAGTTAATAATTTTGGTGGTATCATACAACTAAGATAGTACAGTGTTTGCAGCTTGGAGCCAAGGCCACTCCTCAAGTCTCTTCCAGGCAACTAGGGTCTTGTGTCTGGTTTTTCTCTTTAGGCATGTCAGACAGCACAGCTCACAGATTTATTGACTTGTCTTCCTACCTGCTCACAATAAATGGAAGCCTCTGTAGCAGGTGGGATTTACTGAGAAAGGTCTAGATTGTGTGTCCAGCTACACACTCTCCCACCATCCTGGGGTGATCTGAATGTAATTGACATTTCCCTGAAAAGTCGGGTCTGCTGACTTAAATGAGCCAGTCACTGTCTGGGCCTCTATGTTCTTGCAGAACACATTGGGCACCTTTCTGATTGCACACAAGTTATCAACATGGCCTAGGTTTTAGATGACTGTCAAGCATGGGGAGCTGAGCAGCGAGGGCTGAATTTGTACCTTAACCACTCTTACAGGATGCACCTAGCAGTGTGAGCAAAGACCAGAAAAGACAAGGGCTTTGAAACAAGCAGTGAAGATTCATTTGAACAGCAGAAACTGTGGTTGTGACTGCATGCATGTGTGTGTGTGTGTGTGTGTGAGAGAGAGAGAGAGAGACAGAGAGAGAGAGAGAGAGCATGTGTTCTGTCTGTGTGTCTAAGCATATCTCTTCTGGTGTGTGTGTGTGTGCATGTCTTAGTAGTCTGTATTTTTGTGTGGGTCTGCATATAACTGCATGTCAGTGTCTCTGAGTGTATGTGTGTGCTGTTATATGTGCATCTAGGTTTGTGTACTTATGTGTCTGAATGTGTATCATATGTGTGGTAGCTATGTGTTCTGTGACTGTATAAGTGATACACCTGTCTGTCTAAATGAGCATAATTGTGTCTGGTGTGTGTGAGAAAGAGAGGGGGAGGAGCTAAGGAGAGACACACACACAGAGACAGAGAGAGAGAAACTATGTCTGTGTAGATGTATGAAGTGTGTGTATTTGTGTGTATGCATGCTTCTGTGTGGATATGTGTCTGTATCGGAGTGTACACGTATATGTGACTACATTTGTATGTATGTGTGGCTGTGTATCTGTGAATGCCTATATGTTTTGGTCTGTGATCCTGTGTATAGGTGTGTGTCTTCATGACTGCTTATGTTTGTACATGAGTAAGATGTCTATGTATGCATGTGTCTATATTGCTGTGTGATCCTGCCTGTATTTATGTGAATGATCAGGTGTACCTTTAGGACTGTGTGTATGTGGCTATGTGACTGTGTTTTTATTTAAATTAGAAAAAACCTGTTTTACATGTCAATCCCAGTTCCCTCTTCCTACCCTCCTCCCCTGGCTCCCATGGACCCCCTATCCCATGCTCTCTCTGCTCCCCAGGGAGGATGAGGCCTTCCTAGCATGATCGTCAATGTCTGTCATATCATTTGGAGCAGGGCCTAGGTCCTCCCCTGTATGTCTAGCCTGAGAGAGTTTCCTTCTATGTGGAGTGGGCTCCCAAACTCCATTCGTATACTAGGGATAAATACTAATCTACTGCCAGAGGCCCCATAGATTTCCAGGCCTCCTAACTGACACCCATGTTCAGGGGGTCTGATTCAGTCCTATGCTGGTTTCCCAGCTATCAGTCTGGTGTACATGAACTCCCCCTTGTTCAGGTCAGTTCTTTCTGTGGGTTTCTCCAGCCTGCTTTTTTTTTGTTTGTTTGTTTTTACGAGACAGGGTTTCTCTGTATTGTTTTGGAGGCTGTCGGTCCAGCTTGGCCTCGAACTCACAGAGATCCGCCTGCCTCTGCCTCCCGAGTGCTGGGATTAAAGGCGTGCGCCACCACCGCCCGGCTTCCAGCCTGATTTTGACCCCTTTGCTCATCACTCCTCCCTCTCAGCAAATGGATTCCAGAGTTCAACTCAGTGTTTCGTTGTGGGTGTCTGCTTCTGCTTCTGTCAGCTACTCCTTGGTGTTTTTGATTTTAGCCTTTCTGACAGGAGTGAGATGGTATCTCAGAGTTGTTTTGATTTACATTTCCCTAATGGCTAAGGATGTTGAGCATTTTCTTAAGTGTCTTTCAGCCATTTTAGATTCCTCTATTGAGAATTTTCTGTTTAGTTCTGACCCCACTTTTAAATTGGATTATTTGGTGTTTTGGTGACTACCTTCTTAAGTGCTTTGTATATTTTTGAAACAGCCCTCTGTCAGATTGGGGTTAGTGAATATCTTTTCCCATTCTATGGGCTGCCTTTTTGTCTTGTTGACTGTGTCCTTTGTCTTACAGAAGTTTATCAATTTCAGAAGGTCCCATTTATTAATTGTCGATCTTAGTCTCTGTGCTACTGGTGTTATGTTCAGGAAGCAGTGTCCTGTACCAATTCATTCAAGGGTACCCACTTTCTCTTCTAAAAGGTTCAGTGTGGCTGGATTTATGTTGAGGTCTTTGATTAATTTGAACTTAATTTTATGCATGACAATAGATATGGATCTATGTGCAGTCTTCTACACACCAGCATCCAGGTATGCCAACACCATTTGTTGAAGATACTTTTTTTCCCATTGTATAATTTCAAAAATCAGGTGTTCATAGGTGTGTGGGTCAATATCAGGGTTTTCAATTTGATTCCTTTGGTCTACCTGTCTACTTTTGTGCCAACACAAAGCTGTTTTCAGGACTATAGCTCTATAATAGAGC